CAGAGAAACCATTTGATAAACACACTGTCTCTGAAAATTGTTCCTGCAAAAGAGGTCATTCTTTCATTTTAAAAGAAATAGAATATATTTCAGAAAACAGGCAGGACAACAGTTTAGGATTTCTGTGAATACAGGAAATTTTTTTTTAAGGCAGGGTGTAAACACACTGAAAATTACACACCTCCTGATTGTGTTGAGTGTATTGGTTTTTAAAATGGCTTTATTGAAGAGCTACTTAGGTCACAAGCAAATGCTTGCTGCCCTTCATATTCCTGGGAATGAGTTCTCAGCTCAGTACTTTTTTGCTACAAGGGTTTTGGAGGGGCTACCTTTCCATAATTACTATATATCTGTCAGAACCTATGCGTATATCTATTCTTAGTAAAAGTAATAGCCAACTGGGAAAATGATTACTTTTCTAGAGCTATTCTTGCTTTAGAGACCAATATGGCCAAAATGGGCTGTAGTAATATGAATAATGTTAGAAGCAATCTCACGTGTGTAACTGAATGTATATTTATTATCATGTATGAAACGTTTGCTTATTTTCTTCCCAATTTTACTCATGTTTCTGAATTTTTTGACCTAAGTAAAAATATAAAAATACTTCACATTTCCAGGCCTGAAAAGTTTGGATTCACTGAAAACTGAAACTAAAAATGACAAAGTCTGAGATTTTTTTCACACTATAACTCCTGTGTGGAATTCTCTCCTGGTGATTGGTTTAAAATCCTGCACTGGAGACATGTAATGAGGACCCCAAGGTCAGAATGCTTCCTCTATGCCATGTGTACATTCACTATAGTGAGAGCCTTGGTGGGTTTGACTTTATTTTATCTGCATGTGATTTAGGCTATGAATGTGAAGTGTTGACTTTCTGACAGGAAACCCTCTTAAATTTCATGGAGATGAGTTATACAGATACTAAGAATCCATGCTGGAGAGAAATGCGATGCTTTATGACATGAAGCCAAATTCAGATGTAAAACCAAATATAAGACATTTTACCAATATAATACATTCGCTGTTACTATGGGAATAAATGAGAAGAAACGTGAGTAGCTCTGGCTTTGTTAATTACCATTTGGAGCTGCTGTTAATTTGGCTACATTACATATTGCAAACAAGAATCATAATATTTGGATAGGACTTTTCATGACCAAAACTCAAGAAAAAATTAAATTGTTTATAATGTTCTACTAGTATTGTCATCTCCTCTGGGCAAGTAGAACACAGAGAGGTTAAATTACAGTCCACAGATCCTTAAAAGCTAGGGTCTCAGTAAGATCTCAGGTTATAAAACTCAGCAGGTTTAATTCAGTCCTCATGGAGACTTTCTTGCTTAATCTGGAGCCAGATAAAGTAAAGAAATAAAGTTTTCCAGTTCTGTCAAGATATAAAATAGTTTTCCAATTATGTAAAGTTTGTGTATTTTCCCCCATGTTTTAGAGATTCATGGATGATACCAACTATTCAATTAGAAACTTCAAGCTAGTAAGGCTGACAGTTTCAACCGAAATCATATAAAAACCCTATAGGAATTTTCTTATGCCCAGAACCCATATTTTGGCTGCATAACTGATTCTTGTGTTGCCCTTCTAAATAACTGTTAGCACTGTGCAGCACAAATTCAAAGCATGTTTAAGATTTGTTCTTGGAGAAGTTTCTTCAAATTCAAGGCTAACCTAGTACAAAGAAAACCTTTGTGGCATTTCAGAAACAAAACCACTGACAGCCTGAAAAAGGTGACACCCTTAAGATGACAAATAGCATGACAGTTACAATTGCATTAAATTCTTTAAAGCATCATTCTCAAATTTTTAATGGATGTGCTTCAAATCCACTGGAACCCTTACATTAGATGGTATTCTGAATGCAATGGGAAGTTTAATCAGATCAGCTCTAAATGAAACATAATTCTAGTCTCAATGTATACAAAGGATCTAAGCAGGGTGCAGATGGCTCTGCTACCCAACCTTTAGGTATTGTGTACTGTTATCCAGATCAGAGAAAGAGGTCTTGGATTCACTCTTCTCAAATCTTATCTTAACCAGGTTCCCTGGGAATGATATTCCAGTATTAAAATATGTCCTTTCTTCCATTAAAATATAACCTTTTTTCTTTTCTTCCTTCCCACTTGCCTTTGTAAATGAATATTTATTTATTGTAAATCACTTAAGTACTTCAAGTCCAAGGTTCCAAGGTTCTTTGGATACAGCAGTGATCCAGCTTGGCTCTTGAACAGTGTGTCCTGCTCCCTCCCTTAAGCTTTCTTTTACAAATACCGTGAATGTGCAGAGCCTGGCATTCCTAGCACTGTATATGAATTTGTTAGATTCTTCTCTTTTCTTTTTATTAGATTTCCTACTTTTAATATTAGCAGTAGATGGGTCATGACAGGGTTTCCAGGTGATTGAATGGGACAGGACATGTGTGAATGGGAATGTATGTGTGTGCATGCATGCACACGCATGTGTGAAGAGGTATATCAAGGTCCAGGTCCTAGTCTCCTTTGAGGATTTCTAGGGGGTGCCACTTTTGGGATCCTCTCTCATTGACAAGTACCTCAAACAGCTGCTGGCACAGAGTAGGCTCGCAAAAAACAGCTGCTGAGCACACAAAGACAGAGCAAGACCTTACAACTGGCAGTCTTCCCAAATGACTGTTTCTGTTTCAGTAATTTTATTTCATTCTAAATGCTTCAACATACATATATCTTCACTCATAAGTTTCTTTTTTCCCTCTCTGTCATCAAGATGTACTCTCAGAACTTTCACTTAACCTCCTGAACCATCATCACAATAAATATTGACTGATGAATACTGTTTCCCTTTCAAAGGCATTTGCATCAGAACAGAGAGGGGGATTTTAAGAGAAAAAGACTTTTCCTAAATAGTGGCCAAACTGTTGTTTTGGATATGAGCGGGCATTCCTAGCTCCTGGGCGTCTACCAGAAGGTTCTCACTTTAGTTATTAAAAGGCTTCCCAACTCAGAGCAACTCATCAGCTCACATGCAATTCCCATTCTCACAGCTAGTGGGGCTTCCGCTGCGAATATTTGTATTCCTCATCCTCAAAGTCTGATTACAACTTCAGGTTTCGTCTCTTTGTAACTTTGATTATGCTCTCCTTCATCCTCTGTAATCAAGCTCAGATTGCTCCAGATGTACGACAGAAGGTGAGGAATGTGAGTGTGCAGAGAAAAACTCTGCTTCCCAGCCTTTTGGGCCTCCTTTGAACAACTGTCTGGGAAAAAAAGTAATTTCTTCTTTTGGTACCTCAGATCAGCAGGTTGCTCCTCTCCTGTGGCCAGATGCTGCACTACATACCCATTGTTAAATACTAATAGTCAAACTTAAAAGATGTTCTCTTGCGAGACAACAGGTGGCCACTGCAACTTCCAGCTCTGATTGGTGGAAAGGCCACAGGCGCCCAGTGGCCCAGAGAAAGGCCTCCACTTCTGTGTTTCAAGAACCTGCTCAATGGGGTGTTGTCCTGATAATATCTCAGCTCGCTGCCAATTTGTGCAACCCGCTGGGCCATTAGGGAGCGCCGCTGGGTTGTCAACGTTAAATGGAGACTCGGGAGAGGAGACCAAAGCATTTTCGGGAGGGGGGATTGGAGTCAACCCAGGGCCAATGTGAGCAATCGTTCCGTTCCTGAATACACATCGCTCTTTCATGCAGTCTCCAAACACGCGTTTCTGCTAAGAGAGGAACAAGTACACAGACTTTCACCTAATTGAAGTTTATTTTTTCTGCTTGGTTCCAGAGAGATAATATTGAATGAAGGTAGGTACACAGGTGTCACCAAGCAGGAGTGCCTACTTTGGAGAACGCAAGAAATGAAAAGAAAAAACTGATGCTCGTCTAAAAAAGTTCAGGCCCTGGGCCAGCCAAGTGTGATCAGGGGACGAAAGTGTTCGCGTCAGCTCAAGTATTTGCAAAATCTCCCTTCCGGTTAAAGTAGCTCCTAGATAACTAAACCGGGGAGGGGGCGCAAATCTCTCGGCCTTTCCCTGACGTTCTCATCTAGTATAAACTCTCTTGCCCTCGCCAAGGCTGAGGGCCAAACTCTAAATTAATCCAAAGCAATAAAAGCCGAGGAGAGAGAGAAAAAGATGAAGCTTAAAAAAAGAGAAATAAGGAGGGGGTGCGGGTGGTTGAGTGCAGTGCGAGGAAGTTAATCACCCAGAACCTTTTAGGAAAATAGGGACATTTTCTCTGAGAGAGCAGTGAATGATCCGCCTATATCCAGTTACTCAAATGCCATTCGAATACAAACAAGAGCCAAGAAAATACGAAGAGAACCGACACGAGGCTTAACCCGGGAAGCTTCAAGTCCGCCTACCTGTGAAAGGTCAGGCCCCGACACCCCTTCTGGAAAAGACCACAGGTGTACATGGGTCCCGCTCCCGGCTACCGGGTGGCACTGGTGCGGCTTAGCTGCTCGGTTAGGTGCCTCCAAGCAGGGGACACTCGTGGGGAAAGGCGGACTGGGGCAGACGGAACGGGGCACCCGTCCCACGAGGCAGGGCTGAGGGCAAGGAGAGGACACCCATGGAAGGAGGCGCACGGCGGCGGAGGCCGGCAGCAGGGGCCGGGGCCCGCGGGAAGCGGCGGTCGGAGAGGGGCTGGAGGGCCACACCGGGCGCGGGGCTGGGGCCGGCCAAAGCGGCCGAGGCAAGCCGGGGAGCGAGGGGCGCTCCGAGGCAGCGGGGACAAAGAGGACCGGAGAGGGAAGGGGGGCGAGATGGGAAACAGAGGGGCCCGGAGAGGGGGAGGCCGAGGCCGAGGAGCAGCGCGGGGGACGGCGGGGCGGCGCGGGGCAGGGGCCGCGGCGGGGCGGGGTCGGTGCGCCCGGAGGCGGGCCGGGCCGGGGAGCGCACCGGCGGGGCGGGCGGCGCGCCAGCTGCCCGCGGTGGGAGGGGCGGAGCGGCGGCGGCGCGGGGAGGGGACCGGCGGCGGAGGCAGGAGGGGGAGAAAGAGGGGAGGGGCCGGGCCCCTTGTCTCCGCGGCTCCTCTGCTCAGTCCGCCCGGGGAGGAGGAGGAGGAGCGGGGCCAGCCGCCGCCGCCGTCGTCCCAGCCTCGCCCCGCGCACCTGAGCTCGCCGCGTCGCCCCGGGACCCCGCGCCGCGCCCCGCGCCCCGGGCGCCCTGCCCGCGCGCAGCGCTGCCTCGGTGCCCCTGCGGGGCGCGTCCCCCGGGCCGCCTCCCGCTCTCCCGCGGCTCGCGTGGCCGCGCCTTTGTGTGCGGCGGTCGCGGCTCCCGGGCTCCTCTGCTCGGGTCGCGGCGCCCCTCCAGCCCCGAGTCGCTCGCGCCGCCCGCGGGCAACCCTGGCCGGGCGCCCCCGACGGTGGATCTAGCTGCTTCGAGGAGGCGGGCACCCGCCCCGGCGAGCCCCAGCCCCGGCCCCCCGGCCCCGGGCCCGGCTCCGGCATGGATGTGAGGTTCTACCCCGCGGCGGCCGGGGACCCCGCCGGCCTGGACTTCGCACAGTGCCTGGGGTACTACGGCTACAGCAAGGTGACCGGGCCGGGCCGGGGCTGGGGGCGGCGGGGCGGGGGCCACCTCCCCATCCTGGGCGCTCCCCGCGCCCCAGCTACCCGCGCGCTGCACTTTACTCTCCCCTCTCCACTCCTTCCCCTTTGCTCCTTCGTGTCTGTGCAACTCTTTGGCTCTACTCTTTTTGCCCTCTTTGCACCCCCTTTTTTGTGCCTTGCAGGCGCTCCTATCTCCCCCCACTCTCTCCACCCCCTAGCCCGGTCGACTCTGCTTTGCTGCCCCAAAGAAGCGAAGAGCAGCCTAAGGACTGAAAGAGGGGACTCCCGTGTGGTTCTTTGTTGTTGTTAGTAGTAAACACAATCGCAGCCCCCCTGAGTTTGTGGGGGCGACGCAGGAGTCCCTGGTCTTATGGTGCGATGACTTCGCCGCCCCCTCCCGGTGCATCTTGCCTCCCCCACTCATTAGAGACCTGGACCCGGGGACCGCTTAGGGAAGGAAAGCAACAAACTTTTGAGCGTGCCCTAGATTGTGGGGGAGGAGGGGGGCGCGAAGGGGTGGGATCCCCGCAGGTGGCCTTTGGTGCCCTCTTGCTGGGGCGCTTTGGACCAAGGGACAGAGATGCCTGCCCCTCCTTAGTTAGCGCCAGGGACTTACCATCTTTCATTTTGGGGGTAGGGGGGAGTTGGAGTTTCGGGGAGATCAGGGTTAGAGACCTCCACACCACGCCCTGGGTCACCTCTCCCACCTCCCCCTGCGCCAACTTCGAGGACCGAGCGTTTTAAGTGGGCAAAGGTGGATCTCAGAAGGGCAGCTGGCGCTGCTCCGAGCTGCGAGTCCGTACCGGAGCTGCAGTCCATGGGCCGGGGCGGCCGGACTCCCGTTCTCTATCCTTCCTGAAGCCCCAGGGCCAAGGTTTGGAGCAAACATCGTCTCGAGGGCGATATTCAGAGAAAGAGCTGTTCTCTGGATGGCCTGTGCCTTTTGAATGTGGTTTTTCTTTCTCCTTCTCCCTGCTCCTCCCTCCGCCCCCCTTTTTCTTTCAAATTGTAGTTTGTTTATGATTGCTTGGATAACAGAGGAGGAAATAAGGAGACTGCCGAAAGAAAGGTGCTATACAAAACTAATGAATAAATAACAGGAAGGGGAGGAATTGTGTCTAGAGAGGAACAGTTCGCTGTGCCCCGTGGCTGATAGAGGCTGGTGTTCCTGTCTATTTGTTTATACTTCGTTTCAACTCCAGGGCTGAAGTTTGTAAAAGACCATTAGGGTCTCTCTTCCTCACGCCCGTGTCATCATCGCCCAGCTCTGCGCCTGGCACAGAGGGGCCTCCCTTCTAGTACAGAAGGAGGGTACATGATACAATGTGTTTGGACCCTTTGGTGGTGGTGGGCGTTCATGCTCGCAAAATTCCAAGAGTGATACATTAAGCATTGAAAGAGAAGCGCGAAAAGGCTTGTCTCTGTAGCCAGAGTTAAGGTTTCGTTCCTGTCCTCTGATTTTGGATTTACTCAGATTATTAAATGCCTTAAGAAAGTCCCCCTTGTATGCTTAGTTAGGGACTTAGGCAGCCTAATTAAGTATGTAGTGTTTCTGAGAATCCACCTAATTGTTCCAGGGGAGTATTATTTATCTCCTAACAACTTAGCCTGTGTGTGCAAGCCTTGTATAACTGGGCAAGCTTTTATTTTTGGAAGCCATTACCTTGCCTAATGTAACTACTTTTTTCTCTGATTTAAGATCTGCAACCCTCGAATGACACCAAAATAGAAACCTTTTGTACTAATCCAGTCACTGCAATGCGTGGCAAATCTCTCTGTTCACTAGGATCCCAAGGGTACTTCAAGAGACCAGAGGAAATTGTGGGTGTTTTGTGTGTGTGTCTTTTTATTTTTTGAGAAAGCCTATTTTGACTCCATTTAAACTCAGAACATTCATTTTATGGAGGGTATAGAAAGCTTGAAAACAAGACATTTATTGAGATGCTTATTCAACTTCAGGAGTTGGTTTGCTGTCATATTTTCTTAATGCAGCTATTTGCCCGAAATAACTTGGTTTCTTTGTAATTCAGCAATTTGGTCATCATAAATGCTGTGTGTATCCAAATTATGAAAGTTATGAAAGTCAGACACAGTGCCTAATATTTGGTAGAAGTTAAATTTTAAGGGATGTTTGCATTTAATTCTTTGCAGATAAAAGGACAGTAATCTTTAAGTTGACCCCCAATGCTATAATTTCCTCCTCTTAATTTCAGAAGTGAAAAACCGAATTTTATTCCCTGTAATTTTTCTTTACAGGGAGAATGTAGTAGTAGAGGAAGTATTAACTTTCTGGGTATAAAACAGCAAGTGCTAATTAAAGGTTTATGGCATTTTGTTTCATAGCTAACTTGTGTGTCTGAAGAGGTTCTCTTCAGTATAGATTTATACTGAAAAAGTAAAAACTGGCAGGCAAAGACATGCATTTATTTTATTCGAAAATACCTGTAACTATTAATCTCTTAAGACCTAACTTCTGATGACATGTATTATTTTTCTGGATGGGAAATGATGGATTTCAAAGAAAGTATGTTTCTGCCCTTCCGTGTTTCAACGACCATCTGGGAAAGTTTAAAAGAAATACAGAACCCTCTGCTCCAGGCTTAACAAGTGAAAAGTTAGCACTTATCTTTAAACTAGTTTACAAACCATGAATAATAGGGTTTCATTCATTTCTCCCTTTAACAAATGACCAGAGTCCTTTGTATAAATTATATGCCTGTGTATTATCTTTACATTCTGTGACTTTGGGGATCTTTCTTAAATGCTCATGAAAGTGTACTCTATCTATGGAGAATGGGTGAGTTTTGAGGGTTCAAAAGTCATTGCAAGTAGGAGAATAACTTCAAATAAAATATGGCTAGGATCATTAAAATCAGTTAATAATTCATGAACCAGCCACTGATGTATAAACTTATAGTCATCTCTATTTTCTAAGGGCTAATTTCCATTTTAATTCCAAGTGGAAAATCTACTATTTGAACATTGCTTTTTCAGATGTGGCTACCAAATTAAAACCTATTTTTTTTTAAAGAAAACAAAGGGTTTATGTTTTTCAAGTGACTTAGTGACCCTTTGTTTATATGTTTGGAATTTTTCTTTCCCCAGGTTCCATTTGTCTTTTAAGCTGTTAGAAAATAATACACAAGCTATCAATTGGCATGAAGTTGTCAGAAGTCTGATACCCCAACATAAACTCTAGTATTTAATATCAGTGTAGGAAGGAGAAATCACAGTGGGTTAAGAATGAACTTGAACTAAACTCTAGTTTCTGGTTTTTTTTCTTATATTTTTAGGGTATTTTTACCCCCCCCCTTTCAAAATATGACTAGTGACTTCTTATCCTATGTAGAATAGTCCTATGTTGCTTTTACTCATTCCCAAACCTTGCTTTCTAATTATTATACATGTTATTGATCACTCTCAACATGTGTGAAAGCTTTCATTCTAACTTATTGGGCCTCTGCCATGGTTAGCTTGAAGAGTAAGAGGTCCTGAGGGCCGTTTTGTCATTTGTCTCTCTTATTGGAGACTGTGGTTTAAATTGAGAGCCGCAAGAGGGGGATTTGACTGAAACTCTTCTGCAGTTGAAACCTTGTACCAGTATGAGAACTAAGGAATTTATTTCTAGGGTGTGGCATATTGCGGGTGTTGACTTTTGAGAACAGGTTGAGAGATTTACACGTCAGGTCTTCAGACAAGTTGTTGAAACTATTGTGAAAGATAAAAAAGATTTTTCTAAGGACCTGAAACCAGGCATCATAAACTCAGAATGTTTAGGGACAGCCTTTTAAGCTACATGAAGATAAGGTTTCTGGTCAAGGGGAGAATGTTTCCCACTGAAAGGGGTAGCCTTGCTCTGAATTAGTACCTTGTTGCCTTGCCAACATTTGGGCCTAATATCTCCACATTTTGCAATTATTTTTTCAAGAGAATGATAATCTGGGTTTTCATGTGAAATGTCCTGAATTTTAAATGTTGGCAGCAAATTATCAAATTAACAAACACTTACATAATAATTTTATGGGATCCTCAAAATATGCTTGTGTGCTTCCTCTTTGCATTTTTTGTATTAGACAAACTCATATGCAGGTGAAGATTCAAAATCATTTTTAAATAAGTCACTTACTGTTTGTATTCAACTATGTGGACAGTTCCACTCCTTTGCCCAACTGGTGTACACAATATTGCTGAGTGTACGGAGGAACTAGAATCTAACCACTTTCAGTGTAGTTCTCATCTGATAATTTGTATTCTGTCATTTATTAGTTTTATGGGTTAAAGTCAGTGGAATTGTCCTAGATTGGGGTTGGCAAACTGCAGCCCATGGGTCACATCTGGTGTTCTTCCTATTCTTGAATGGTCTGTGCATTAAGAATGGTTTTTACGTTTTTAAATAGTTGAGAGAAATCAAAAGAATAGTACTTCAAAACTGTGACGATTACTACATGAAGTTCCTATTTGTGTCCATAAAGTTTTATTGGAACACGGCCCCTCTCATTTGTTTACATGTTTTCTACAGCTGCTTTCATGCTACTGTAGCAGAGTTGAGTAGTTGTTGCAGAGACTATATGGCTTGCAAAGCCTAAAGCAAATCATCAGACCATTTGATGGTGCCATGATCTTCCTTTGTTCCAAGGCTGGGCAGTAGCAAGAAAACCTACTTAACAAGATAGAATAACTGGAGAGATGATTATCTCAGAGTTTACAAAAATGCTTCCAGAGCAGTGGGTTTTCAGCCCTGCTTTAGCTGTGGTCAGGTGGGAGGAGGCTTCTAAAACATACTCAAGCTCAGCCTTACCCTAGAGCAGTTCAATAAGAATCATTGTGGGTGGAACCCAGAAAACAAGAGCTCCCAGGTTATTTCAATGTGCAGTCATGGTTAAAGACTTTGTTTTAGTCTGAGGATCCTGCGGTGGAGTGAGCAACATTGAGGGGCAGTAGAACTGGGTGGGCAAAGAAGTTTGTGATTGCTATAAAGTAGAC